CATACTTAGTACTTGCTTTGGTCCTATTTCTATTATCCTCCTCCTATACTCTATCTTACTTGTTAAGCACCTGGGCATACCCTTGGTTTTTAAGTGTGCTTTATAAATAACGTTTATTATTATTATTATTATTATTAACAAACTGTGTTCCCACCTGTTTCCTATCCCCCCGTTATCTTGTGTTGTCACAGTCTATTCAATGCCACTTTCTTCCGCTGGCTTCCTCCTTGTGATGTGTTTTATTTAGTGTTTTGTAAGAACTCAACAATGAAACTGAAATTCCAGTTTTTGTGTGGTTTTCAAAGTCCTTTATTTTGGATCAAATTGCCGCCTGACAAAAGAATGTGACCATCATGGCAACTCCCCTCCACTGTGTCCATTTCATGTTTTAGCTTTCTAAAACATGAAATGGACACAGTGGACTGGCGTGTCTATAACATCCTTTGCCGTGATATTGGGTTGATCATGGACCCAGCCGACTCAGTTATAGTAGAGGACTCTAATAGCCATCTTCACCTGAAAAGGTGAAGCATGACCAGAACAGAAGGTCCAGTACCTACCAGCCAAGCCAGAACAGCAAAAGGTGGACACAGTTATCCAAACCAATACACAAGAATCCGGACAGTCAATAAATATAACCTTGAACTCAGCTTAGAACGTGATCAAAGATGTCTCTGTGTTGCTAGATTCATTTTTTTCCTCAGAAACTGGGAAGACTAGCCAGAGTACCCGTCCAGTTTTTCGTGTCATGGTCTGTGTGCGGCAGGCAGGAATGGAGGACCCAAATGCAGACTCCAGCATGCGAACATAAACTCAAAAACCTCAGCTTTATTGCTGGCATGAGTCAATACAGGAAATAAACTGGGGAACGCTAGAAACTAAACTAGAAACACACAACACTGAACAGAGGAAAACACAGACAATAGATACAAGGGTTAAATAAGGGAACAAGAACCAGAAAGGAAACACAGCTGACCCTAAGTAAACAGATGAGACCGGGGAGACGCAAAACAGAACCTGACGCACACCGACGGGAGACTATCAAAGTAAAACAGGAAGTACGCAGAGACACAGACTGACTAAGGGAACAGACAGATGCACATGAAGACAAGACTGACCTAACAGGGGAGGAATCACGAAGGCAAACCAAGACTAGAAATAGAGAATAAACTCAGGAGTAAAATCATACTGGGCAAAGAAATCTAAAATACACAGAGAACCGAATAAATTAACAAGACTCAGAGAAACAAAAACACAAACACTGGGTGGACGACCCAGGTACCCTAACACTCAGCTTCCTGACTAAGATGATAGAGGCCACGGTGCTCACTGAGACCTTCAATGCTATAGAAGTTTAATGTAGATGGAGTCCAGACCTCCTGGGATCTAACAATGTTTTACGATAGATCTTGTACAGTGTGAATTTGAGGTTTATCTGGGCCATACTGTAAAGGCAAAGCAGTATGTGCTCAGTGCGTGGAAAGGTGAGAATCTTTTAGTCACTAGTGACTAAAAAAGGACAGTGTGCTTTGTGTTGTAGGACTTTAACTTGACCTGCAGAACAGTTGACCAGTGTTCTGCAACCTCACAGTGGTCAGCACTAGAGCAGGGCGATATGACCAAAAATATTTATCAC